GTTTCTGTTTATTATTAGTAATTATTTGTTACAGATGTACAGACTATTTTGGCAGTGTATTTACCTTCCGCTCTATAACGACTTCGGGCCACGAGAGCGCATTCGATAAACAAGTACACAAAAGTAGTAATTGTGGTCGCGTTGTCAACTCCATCCCTTGCTTAATCATGTATACAATGCGTAGGAAGAAACGCGTTGATAGCAATATAAGGGGAGAAGCATGGAAAATTGTTAAGCGGGTGTTGGTTTTTAAAAGCCGGGGATCTTGAAGATGTGTGACAAAACGCGGGGTTTTGCGGCAGGGGTATGGAAACGGGGCTTTCGGATTTGGATTATTTCTTAAACTAATCATGGAATGGGGCAGAATCGTAAATGCCGGCGAGGAGCACTTTATTCTGTCAGGAAGGCCCGGCTTGCTTTTGTAAGTAAACGACCGTTGAAACAGATAACAGACATACACTGGATTCTCCAGTAGCTTCGAAAAGCCACGTTACGTTCTCTGCTCAAACCGTGACATTGAACTTTAAAAATACGTGGAACAGAAAAAACGATCAGATAGAAAAGCTACACGGACTGAGTGTATCTCCGTTTCACCATAACTTGGTCAACGGCGAAAGCTACGATCCCCGTTGGCCAATCAGAGCAAGGGAGCGACGCACGACACAGCTCTCCGTGGAAGGATCGTGTTTCTATGGCACATCGTCAAGTGCTTTGCTCCGATGCCCCGATTGGCTCACGAGGGTCGTAGCTTTATATCCTGTCTTCAAAGGACTGGCTCTCACAACGCTTGAGCGAGCACTTAACCCCTCGCCTTGTCCTGTGCGGAAGGTACTCCGTGATAATGGTTTTGTCCGGTTCGACATTCTGACAATATACAATGACACTTTTGTGAGCTGCTTGGAGATGTCTTCGGGGTAATCCGAGAAGTCAGACATACTGCTTTGGTACAAGATTATGTTCTGTATACCCAGAGATGGACCACACCGGACGCTGCAAGTCGTTCCAGCCAATGCAGTGCTGCGAGCGCTTCATTTGGCCTCGTGCCACACTCAGCGCATGTCACGTGTCACACACTCGGAACTGATTTACCTCCGATGGCTCGTAGCGTCCGCTGCGGTCCATTTTAAGGTAGAACGGATCGTAACAGAGTACGCTGCTGTGTGTTTGCGAATAATGGATCGCTTAGAGTGGTTCATTGGTAAATCCTGCTTTTGTTCAGCCTGAGCTCGCAAACTCTGGACACAATAAAACTATGTGGCGTAGAAATAAAAGCTTCTGAAAATGTCGGTATCGTTTTTCTTTTTTTACGTGCAACTTTTGTTATTGCTTGGGACCGAGTTCGGCCCTGGAAGCTGTTTGCCGCACTGTAAATTTGTCCAGTTATTAGTGAGTGTAATGATTTTTATGTAGGTGATAGGCCCTCTTGGGAAGAACATATCAGAAATAGTTCAATGCTATATCTCGAAGACATTGCCAGATAACAACTCACAAATATTGGGTAAAAATGTCAAAGTTGCCTAGTTCGTGTATTTCGAAGCGCTGCATTTCGCATGGAGACAAAATAATGCAACATGTTAATGGAACACCACGCGATATAGTGTAAAATATTTTCCTCGAGAAAAAAAAGAAAAACGAAGTTTTTTTTTAATTGCACGCTGAAGTTGGGGAACTTTTCACATTGAAGCACGTTTGAAGCGTTGTAAATATTTTCAGTTATAAAACTCGAGTAAAAAAATATTTTTAGATGATTTACCGTTCCGGAAAGAATATACAAAAAAAAAAATTCAACGCTATATCTAGAAAATATTACGAGATATGCACTCCTAAACATCAGATACAAATATCAAAGTTACACGCACGCACACACGCACGAAGGTACACAATAACCTGAAAACCGAATGCAGTGGCTGATGTATGAGTAGTGATCAAACTGTTTCTGCGGTTGACATCATGGGACGTCGCGTTCATGTGGGAGCTGTAAAGGTTAGGTGATCAAAAATGCACAATCATGACAATCAGAGCACATATCTCCAACATTTTTTACCCTCAACAACCTTCTCTCCCCCCCCCCTTTTTTTTTCTCGCTCAGAAAAAAAGAAAAGAAAAAGAAGGGAGATCATTTAATGGTGCGACTTTTGCCGACGGTGCACGCGCGCAAAAGTACATGTCAACCGCAAAAGTGCTATTTACAAGATAAAGTACACAGGAAAGTGATTGTCGCTTTGGATGTCATTATAATTGGTTTTAGTAGTGCACCCATACAGTAGCCTAACCACATAGTTTTAACGCAACTACGTAAAAACGATCAGTTCTTTTGTTGGCCCGTTCAAGACTGGCAGTTGTTGAAATATTTTAGCAAAGCGAAAACCGGGTATCGGCGCAAATGATAATCTATACGCAAACCCGAGCCCCTGAGACTTCAACAGTGCCTCCGGTATATGTGTGCGTGTGTTCACCTCGATTAGAGAAGTCATTCCAGATACAGTCACGGCAGTCCGGAAAGTCGAAGTGCTTCCGTCGCATTCCAATTAATGCTCGGAGCCTTTATTCTTGGCTGTAGGTATAGGTTAGGTTAGCTCGCCCCTCACGCGTGAACCTAAGAACAAACAATTCCGTCAAAGCATTTTATGCTGCACAGGTTACGCCACCTCAGCTTAACGGATATCAGTGGTACATTACAATAGACTTGAGTAGCTCTTGCTGTGTTGCAACTTACAAGCACAAGTAGAGAATTAAAGAAAAAAATATCTTCTTTTTTTATTAAAAACGAGCTTGCGAGAGCACGGTTATGGTCTCATCTCATATGTTGCGCTGTAGTACAGCATGGCGACACCACTGATTCAGATACTTTGGAGTTACTAGCGCATCGTAAAACCTCGTTGTCATCGGCGGCTTCCTGAACAAAGTTGCGGCATGACAGTAATATATTATATTGCGCCTACATTGCACTGTTTGCAACAGCAGACTGATATTTCATTATCGACAAGCAAACTCTACCTGCAAAAATTAAATGTAATACGAAGAGAATTCCCATAGTTTTAGTAATCAGTAATTTGTAATGTGATATAATTAAATTTTAGTGATTTTTAAGAGAGGAATCGGTAATGTAAAACAGTTAGTTTTGGAAAATGCTTTTGCCATCTCTCGCCTAGAAATCTCAAGAGGGCGACTGTACTAAAGTGATTAACCATTTCGAGAAGAGATAATGAGTTGAGAAAAATTAACGCAATATTGTAATTACACTCCCAAAATTTGACGGGTGAACTTGTACTTAAAACTTTTGTTTACGGAAAGGTGGAGTTCTACTCACCGGTGTGGCCACGTGCAATATGACGTCTAAACGCGGCACTGGTCACTAGTAGGATCTCAAAACGCAATATAAAAATGCAAGGAACCGAAAAAAAAAAAAAAGGCTCTGCTCCGTAATATAGATTTTTGCAGATCTCAATATTTGAAGTTTCGGTCAAATTTCAGAACAAAAACAACGGTCTGACAGCCCCCAGCACTGTTTATTTCAACGTGTGTCCCATTTAGGCAACACCAGGTGGGTTGGGGTAAAAGCACCGGACATGTTAGAGTACGCACGCTGGCATGAATTCCCGTCCCGTAAACACTTTTTGTAAGGCTCGCCACTTCCTCTTCAAGTACCCAGGGTCACAATACACTCTGTAGTACCGTATTTTCCGGACTATATAAGTTTAAAAGTTGAAAATTCACCCGATGCGGACTATCTACAGGTGCGTACAATACAATGATATAATTTTTCTAGATCCTTCACTATGACAATCGTGAAGGATTTTATGAGTAACGGACTATACTAATGTTGATTTACGTACATAAAGCTTCATCGTGAGCTAATACAGTAGGCATTTGTCAAGGTCTGTTGAGTATGATACTTTTTACGTTCGGACTAGGTGCTAAGCGCGGGCTTTGCACTGGGTGCCGTTTGTGTACCGGGTGCGGACTATCTAAGCAAGCACTTTTATTTTTGACGCAAAATATTTCCCTGCGGACTATGCACCGGGTCCGGGCTATAGTCCGGAAAATGCGGTAGTTCCTTCGAACTCTAGGGTTCTTGGACGATGGCCCTTAGCCTATGCCCATCCTCACATGGCCTTGGGTCACTTTACATGGACGGCAGAAGCAGTCAAATGCTCGGAGTAGCCAAGCATGCTTATCGCAAAACAAAACAAAAGTTCAGAGACAAAACCGAGAGGCTAGGCTCTGAAATGCTGCAGAAAGGAGAGTTCGGTTTCGGGCGCTTCTCTGGTATCGCCGGAGGAAAGGGGTCGCTGTGCCTCCCGCCGCAAATCGCCCATTATGCGCTTAGCTTGGCTTATCTGGCCCCGAGATGCAGCAACAAAAGGAGTCTCCCCGCCGTCAAGTCAACTGTGGGAGACGAGGAAATGGGAAGTGTGGCGAGGGGAACTTTTTTCTGGTTGAAAAATATTCTGCAGGTCGGTCTTTGAGCGCCACGTGGTGGGAAGTTTTGAAACTAGCCCGAATGTCTCGGAATCTTGGCCTTGCTTGGGTTCACTTTCTGTTTCTGCCCGTTTCGATCTTGGTGTGCAATAAATATGGTACCGACGTGCGGTCGTACATCACTACTGCGTGATGCACGTTGGAGATCCCAGGTTTCTCTGGCATTGCACTGGCTAAATTTCTTACCTACAGCTGAGGCACCAGACACCCACTGGAGCTGACTAACTTCCCGCTGGCTAAACATACACGCAACACAATTACTCCCTCCTCTAAGGTACTTTTTTTCTGTACTTATAAAGGCTTGGAGTCACTTAGATTTGAACTCAATATTGTTTCAAGGTTCATCTCAAAGAAAAAAAGTATACATCCGAACGAACAACAAGACGGTAAGTGCAGGAGTAAACAGAGAGGTTGACCAGGGCGGCTTGCCTCGGTTGGCTACTCTGAGTTGGGGAAAGCGATGGGGAGATGAAGGAGGAAGGAAAAAGAGGGAGCAGCCAACGAGCATAGCCACTCACCTTGCGGCGTTCCGGAACCGTCCTGGTGTTGTGTTCGTGAGGTCCTTTCCGCGGAGTTCGACCTGGAGTAGCTCCCCTCTTCTGGCACGGACCCGGAGTCCTTGTCAGCAGGAGGAACGTCATTTTTGTTAGCACTCGGATGTCGCCGCATCCTGTTCTTCACTACGCCGTGCCTGGCCTCTTGGTGTCTTTCGACGTTGTACTTGCTCGGGGACTTGTAGGGGCACACTTGGCAGAAAAACCTTTTTTCACCGCTGTGGGTGAACATGTGACGCCCCAAGACTCCTGCCCGGTCGAAGCGTTCCGGGCAGAGCAAGCACCGGTACGAACGGTCCGCGAGATGCACGAGACCCTTGTGCTGGTCAAGGCTGAATTGGTCCCTGAAGGCCTGGCCGCAGCACTGCCGTCCGTCGCCGGCGAAGGGCTGGTGCTTGGCCGTGCGGTGGCGCTGGAGGTTGCTCTGCCTATTCGTGTTGTACGAACAGTCGGCGCAGCCAAAAGTGCATTCCTTCGGGTCGCTGGAGCTGCAAGGGGAGCGGACAGGGCAAGGAGGTAAGGATGAGTTACGTGGAGGAGACTTGACAAGGTAAATAATGCAGCCGGCCACATCAAGTGTGCTGCTATTGAAAGCGAGAGCTGTTCAGTCGTTGAAATATATGCTTTAGGATATTGATTTTAGTCGATGTGAACAGTTTGGGGAGACTCCACCCCCCTCCTGACACTTTAGCAGAGCGAAGGTGTCGCCCCCTCTCCAGCGTTTGCTTTGCTAGAGTTTAAAAAAAGGGGCGCCGACTAGTATTCGCGACTCCAGCGACCCTAGAGGGGGCGCCACCACCAAACAAACATTGCGGCTGGGTCCAGGTCGCGTCGGCTCGGCCGGGCCGCCTTAAAGGGGCCCTGCAATGACTTTTTTACTAATTCTTAATTTGCACCGGACCTGAGCGCACTGAACGTAGTAACTTCGTGAAACTTTTCTTTTCTCGAAATTTTCTTTATTTTAAAAGTTATAGGCAAATTAAAATTACAAAAACAAGCAAAAAATAACCTCCTTCATGACGTCCTTGGTTGCTTGAGAGTGGCCGTGAACTAGAGGAGAAGTAGTGAGCTCATCGAGCGCTCACAGCTGCCGCACTCCGAGTCGGCGGCGCGAGAGGGCGCCATTAAAGCGTGTTCTGGATAGGCTGTATGCAGCGGTCAGCCAGAGCGGCTCTCATTGCATTTGCTGCGCGATTAAATACTAATTCGGCATGACACTTCATTAGCCACAAACGACAGCAAACACGGGGTAAAGATCAGTTCAGAACGGGAGCCACTTCGCGTTGCCATACCGCCAAAGGGCTAAATCGCCAGCCAAGCCCGCGCCGAGAGCCTTGGGAACGCTCGGAACCGGTCGGATCCTCGAGCCGGTATACGACCGCAGCGCCGCCGCGTACATCCGGGAGCTTTCCGTGTCGGCGCCTGATCACACTATTCCTTTCTAGTATGCGCCGCTGTTTCCACCGCTTGGTGGCGGGTATGTTGACGGGTCATTTCTTGTTTCCGTACTTTATGAACTGCATTCGTTTCTTTTTTTATCTAAAATACTGAACAAAAACTACTTTTATAAAAAATTGAAACGGTTCGCGCCACTTATATTTTTTATTTCGACTAAAAAGAAGCTTTTAGCGGCTCTGACCAGTAGTAAGCCCAGGACCAAAGACGTCACATTTTGCGCGCTTTCGGTACCGCGGGTCGCCCTCGTCGGTGGAGGAGGTTTCCGCGTCGTCAGGTTAAAATATGACGCACTGATATTTAGTTACTCTCTCCGTGCCCGCTGGCTTGCCTGAACCCCAAGAGACGTGGAAACCGCAAAAAAGGTAGACGCTTAAATACGATTGCAGGGCCCCTTAAACAGTTTTGGTTTCGGAGATTTCGTTCAAAACCGAAACTATGGGCTCCGGAGAGACGGTAATAGACTTTAATCAGTTTTGATCAGCTAAGGAAAGTGGCGATGACTACATAATTGTTCCCCTGAGAATAATTTTCAGCTAACTGCATGCCTCGACCGTGCGACTTATCTGTACGCGAAATCGAGCTTTTGTGCGTATCCGCGTTTAAGAAACAGCTGCAAATTAAGCAAGCGCTTTTTGGGCCAAGGAGTATGTTAACCCGCTGGCGCCCCACTAAGCAGCTGATACTCGTATTTCAATTCAGGTTTTAGTAGCAATCGAGAAGTAATTTTGACGAGCGGGTTACGTATTATATTACGTACTATGTCCCACTAAAGCAATATTAGAATATTCGTCGGGTTGAAATATGAGCTTAGTTGACTAGCTATTAAGTGAACTGCTGAATAAAAGTATATTTGACGGACAAAGAGATACTACTTAAACTCAGCCAAATGGTTCTAGCCGGTAGCACGGAGACGAATGCGGACAAACTGAAGAGAGTCTTCATCGGAGATTCACGCAGAACCTCTCTGCATTGAACTAGACTTTGAATTCTGAACGGAGAAAATGAGTATTCTTTGTGGCCGGTCAACCTGAGCAATGTAGGCGCATTGCTGCTGGCTTCGACGGGGGTATGATATAAATATTGGAGGCGCGATAGATCATAATGCTGTGGCAGCTTCTAACTTTGCGAGACGCGTCCCCCACCTTCTGAAAGCAGACAATTTCCCTCATTAATCGTATGCAGCAAGCAGGTCTTCCGGAATCAAGTGATTGCGAAATCAGCCCAACTCCTTCGGTGTATTTGGAGTTGTTGTTGTTTTTTTTTGTTGTTTTTTACGGCGAAAAACCAGATGAATAGCTCACCGACCGGCGTGGGTGGCTCGAACTTGAAGCTAATCGAACACAACCAAACTCAAGAAAAGGAGCGATCGAACTTCCCCATTCACTTGATTGCAACATTGGTGTTGAAACATTAGTGAAACACTTCGTCTGTCGTCCTCAGTCCACCGTTCTATATCCTTATAAAGAAACCACTTATCAGTTACCAAGCCGTCGTCACTTTGAATGCGATTCAAGACAGACAAGAAATCAAAACGTTTTTCCGTGATTCCTCCCCATCCAAGAAATCGAAAGCACGCGACCGCGTGTTGTGGAGTAAAGGGACTTTCAAACATGTGATGGAAGGAAACAATCTACCGAGGTTTCACCACACTAATGAACACTCAGGAAAACTTAAGAAATTTTCGGACCTTCGTCAAATTACATTGTTCGCCACCGCGCCGACAACACGTGTCCGCGAAAGCCACCAGAGACGCAGAGGAGCGCAAAGCGACCTGGTCCGGCTGGTTCCCGGTTTTCCCGCTTGGTGGCGTCCGTTTTGCTGGAGTCGCGAAAAGGCTATCTGTTTTTGGAGCTTTATTTTGTGTAGAATGGTTGAAGGGAATGTGCTTTGTAATACGTTTTACTACTAGTTTTCTTGTTTTTATTTTTTCTATTTTCTACCCTGCACTTGCTGGGGCATATTCAAAAGGCCTGCAGTATGTATTCTAAATAAAAAAATAAAATAGTAGTCAGTGTCAAAGTGACAACTGGAGGGAGGAGCTTCAGTTGTCCCGCCTCCATCTTCGAAGTCTTGTGCTCCCCGAGCGCGTGCGCTCAGCCAAAGCACGGCGTTAGGTTGGAGGCCTACCACCGTGCTTTGGTTTTTCAACTCCAATTCGCACATGGACATCTTGTGTTATTTATATTTATCGCCTCGAACCGATCGGGGTGAACTTGGTTCGACTCTCGTCGAACGTTTGCTCTGAAGGTCGAAGTTCGTCGACCTTTGAAGCTTAACAATTTCGGAAGTTTGAAGCTGTGAAGTTCGAAAATGTCGAATTTCAATCGCATTGGAAGTTCGGAAACAATATTTCTCAGTGCCATAAATTCTAAAGTTAAAATATAATAGAATATTTTAGGTAACAAGTTCAACGATTCGAAACTTTACGAAACCCTTGGTGTTGGCTCAATCTTCGAACCTCAGGTTCGCAAAAACTTTACTTCCAAGTCAGGCAGGTTTTTTCTGCCGGGTTCCTGCGGGTCTTCTGCGCTACGCTTGAGTCTGTTTCCTGTTACCGAGTGCCATCAGACGACGATGGACGTGGTTTTGTATTTCCCCGAGTCACCAACACCACCATGATAGAGTTATGCGAAATCAGGAATCATCGTCGATATCTCCATGTGTTTCGCATACCAGTGGTGAAAAAGCGAGGTAATATTTGTATCCGGTTGCAGGTTGACATTAAAAAAAAGAAGAAAAAAAAATACGCAGGGACCAACACGAAAATTAAATTACTCTGTACGTTTTTTTTTTGTTGTTTTTTTAATCTTTTTGGTTCGGGGTTTACAAGTATGGAGTTTCCTAACCAGCCCGCCTGCCACTCTCTCCCTGCTGACATTCTGCTTTACATTAAAGAGTTTAATAAGGCTGCTTGAACGATTATGGTGCAATCGATCGACCTACGGGTAGTCGTGTTGAAACGCTGGTCTGAAAAGTAGCTCCAATCGTACAGTGACCAATGCAACGCCACCTTGTCCCCTCCCCGAGAGCGATTGGGCTCTCGTGAAAGGGATGAACAGGCTCGAAATATTACGAAAAAGAAAACAAAAAAAAAACACGTACATTTACAGCTCGAAATATTGGCATTAAAAAAAATCAGAAAAAAAAAAACGACCGATGTGAGCTGCTAGGTAAATATGCTTTCTGTTATAGCCGAATAGATTTTAGTCGACATTCGGCTTGTAGCCGAGCCCACAAAGCCTACCTGCAACCGTTATAACGTTTTCTTTTTGATTTTTGTACTTAACCGATCCCAAATGGTTTTAGCTACCTCAGGCTGTTCAGGCCCTTTCTTGAAGCAAGAATCGGGTTCGTGCTATTTACTTCAATTAAATTAAAAAAATGTACCGTTGATGCCAAATGCATGAACTCTTAACGTATAAGTCTACCCCCCCCCCCCCCCCCCCGCCCCGCCCCCAAAATGATGCACTGACCATCGGGCAGAAAATTACGACTTCGGAACACCGAGTGCTTCCGCGTCGTCGATACGACATAGTTACTTATATACGCGAGTTATCCCCACCATTCGCTTGTTTCCGAACGCACCATTGCGTATCTAACTGTGCAAAACCCCTCCCGCGATTCGTAGTTTTTACCGCATTCATGTTGGTCGATAAGCGATTCCCCTGCCCGTTAAACACCTCTTCCAGCTGCTGAGTGATTACCTCCTTTACAGGATTAATTTACGACGACCTCTGCCATCGCACACAAACAGCGCTAAAAAAAAAAAAAAAATTATGACAGAAAACTGGCGTCCCACGCGCCATGTTACGGCGTGCTTTGCGGGGAAGCGAGCACATGACTGCTAGGAACCGCAGTGGAGCGGGTTGGCTCCCGCAAATAGTTACAGCATGAGCATTTACTTTTTACTAAGAGATTCATCACTTGTACCGTTCAAAATACCTTCTGAGCAATGACATTAGTGAGAAAAAATATCTACATAATGGTAGTATTATTTATTGCTTAGATTTTCATCGAGAAAATGCGTACTTTCGAAACGACAAGTATAAAAGGCGAAATCGGAGTTTGGGGCACTTCGACATCGTTCATGAACTGTTAGCGAGGTAGCGCGGACACCGTGTTTGGGCAGGCTGTTCCGTTCCCGGACTGGGCTAACGCGTCTCAGTTCGGAGCGTTGAGCGGTAGCTTGCGCTGCAGAACCTCCTTGATTCGATCTCCACCCCCCGCCCGTTTCGATCTAGACGAGTTTCGTACTGGCACGCGTTTGTATAATCACTACTGCGTGATGCACGTTAATGACCCCAGGTTTGCGGGTTGTAGTGCACTGGCTAAATTTCTCATCTACAGCTAAGAGACCGGTCACCAGTGAAGGCGTACGAACATCAAGAATGTCTAAAAATACCAGCAACATTATTTGTTTTGTCCGCTCCTTCAATCCTTCGCTCGAAGACGTGAGAGGAGGAAAGCCTTGCAAAATATCAAGTTTGGTAGGTCGCTTTTAACCTCCCTAAATGCAAATAAATTAGCGCCATAGGTCATCTGACGCGTCATCGGCAGGGCCAAATTTCAACATAATTTCTGAGTTGCGACAATCGAAATCGAAGCATGCCAAACAATATTCATTATTAAGGTGGGGTAACACAGTCTGCGTATACATAATACAGAAGGCAGTCTGCAAAAAGATTCGAACACAAGCCATCACGACATCCGTGCCTCGAATGCCGCGTGGGAACGGGTTCAATGAGAAACTTGCTACGCGGCATTCGAACCACGGATATTATAGTGACTGATACCCGGCAGAATGCCTTTTGTGACTGCGGCTTAGGCATGACAGGAAGTTTATTCAGACGACACAGCATGCCCCCAATTAGCGGACGGAGGCGGCTGTTGCTCACAGAACTCTCCTCACTGCAGATAAGCTCGAGCAAAACGGGACTTCTAAAGTCTGGTTCAGACAGTTGCGTTTGACTGCGTTGCGGCAGCGAGAAACCAGGACATCCCTGCTACCTATATCGCGTGCTAAGATGATTCTTTGAATTGGATTGCACGCTTCACACGAAGCACAGATGTGCCGGTGACTCGCTTTCGGTACTCGACGCAACGCAGTCAAACGCACTCAAACGCAAGTGTCTGAACCGGCCTTAACGCAGCAACTGACGCAAAAGTGCCATCAAAGTCAATCCCTGAGTGTCACGTGACCCTCGGGAGGAACGCAACGATGTCACGTACGTGATACAGGACACAACGCTGGAGTGGCTCCAGCGTTGTGTCGGAGGAGCGCTCGCGACCACCAACCACGAGAAACTTGCCTATAAATGCGCAAGCTTCATTGACCGCCATTACTGAATAATTTGAGGTAATTTAAAAGCAACCAACAGTGAAGTATGGCGGATTTCAAAAAGAGGCCCCGGCCAGAAAGACAGTGACAGCACAAAATGACTGCGTCTTCACCTCGTCAAAGCGATTCCGTGACCATGGCCTGTGTCTCGATGATTGGAGCTACGTTGAAAACCTCTTTTTTCAAAATCTTTAGGTTTAACGATTCTTTGCGATGAAGGACGTACTGGATGATTTCAACCTTTGACTATACTTTAGATGCACTGAGTGCCAAAAGCAGAGGCCCACCAAAGTGTCATCGATGATTCGTCGCCGACGAGGAATATTTATAATTTACTTTATAAAGGGCGTCCGTTTTCTGGGCAGTCGTGCTAGACTCAAGTTTCGAAAAAGGCGTCGAGAACTCACCGTTCACTCCTCTTGGCTTGAGCAGAGGTTCGCTTGGCGGGAACTCTTTGGGCGGGGGCCATTTCTCCACCTCCGAGTCAAGCGATCTGAAAACTTTCGTACAAAGGCTTTGTTTTGTACCAGTCCTCCCAGAGCACGGAAACTGATGATGCTCAACGGTTCTCGCATATCGTCACCGCGGACGATATGAGTCTTTGTCCCTCCTTGTTCCTCGAAGACATCCATGCTCATTGGCCAGTCCGAACTACGGGGGCGATGGCAGACCATTGCGTAGGCAAAGGATCGTCCACGCCCCCAACCCTTGAAATAAGACGAAGAGGGAAGGAGAAAGAGGGAACACAAAGCGAGGGCCATGCAGAGATTGTTTCACTCTGACCCCATTTCGACCCGATAGAGTCAGGATTTCTGTGAAGCACCCTCTTTGCTTGCCCTGGGGAGTGGTGTGGAAGACTTTGTGGACCGATTGACTCTTCGCTTCGCGGAATGCGTTCCCGCTCTTTGTTGGAGGATGCGCGCTGAGCAGTGGCGTTGAGATGGCATCGTGTGATGCAGTAGCGTTGGTGGTTGCTGGGGGATCCTTCTTCTGCTCTGATCTGGAAGGGAGGAGAAGACGAAGACTGAAAGAGGAAATGGGAAACTGTGCTTTTTTATCTCCTCTTTTCGTTAGCTAGCCCACGCGAGTAATCTGCCTAACGCATTCGCTTCCTCTCTTTGCATTTCGCCACATCGCTCCTAAACGCGACCAAAATTCCAGTAACACCCCCCCCCCCCTAAAAAAAAGTAAAATAAATAAAAGCAATCGGAAATAAACAGCGCGAAAAAAATACAGAGAAGGACAAAGGGAAGATGCTCGTGTTGGTGTTGGTCGCGCCGCAGAGAGAGTGGAGCGCTGGCGCAGGTTTTGGCTTGACGTCATAGCGCGCGCTACCAATGGCGTCGCGTCGCGCGGAGGAGGGAGAGAGAAAGAAGTCTGCCTTTTGAATACCCTGCCCATGGCATGCTGATATTGTGAGAACAAAAGCATCCTTTATGGCAATAACGAATAACCGTCACCATTTACATCGAATAGCTAGTAAGAGATCATAATTTCTTCGGGTACTAAATACAAGTTTTTGTAATTCAAATTAATATTTGCTGCCTCCACGTTTACAGTCATAACTCTATTGAACGCATTAGTGTGAAACAAGGGTAGCACGTCTTGATAGGCCCCCTTTTATGCGCCCCTTTAGAAACACACAGCTCAGGCCCCTCTTCTGATAGAGATAATCTTTCGCCTTTTACTAAAGATTACCGTGGGGAGGGGCCAATGAGCCTATAGGCCTATTTTTGGGAGGCCGCTACCGTTTGGTAGAGGCCTGATGTCGAATTTCAAAAATGAGAATTACCGAGTTGTGAGTGTACGAAGTTCGCGAGACGCCGATGACGCGCGTTGCTCAAGGTAGGTAGCTGGTGCTGGAGGCAGGACAACTGGAAGACCTCCCTGCCTTTTAGTCCTGTCCGTGACTACATCAATGCCACTTAGAAGGTAAGGCCTGCGGATGGTGTCGTCTTTAGTAGATCCCCGGTCTGTCCCATGTGGCAGCCAAGGCCAAGGGGTTTGAGACATGCATTTCTTGTGCGAACGCACGCTTCGAAGCAAGCGACCTCGAGCTCTTTGTGCCATTGGCAACCATCTAGCGTTGCACTTGTTGTGAGACGCTGAGATTGGTGTCGACATCCCATTCAGGTGAAGTGAAGCGTGAAAAAGCGTAACCGAGAATTTCACCGCCAAGTTTAACGGACAAAATGACGTCACATGACTTCGTGTCGCTTGACCGATACACAAATTCAGTTCCACCGCTAAGTTTAGCAAAAAAAAACTTGACGTCACGTGACCAATACGCAAACTCAGTTTGCCCGCTAGATTTAGCGGAAAAATTGATGTCACGTGACCTACACAAGAATGCAGTTTACCCGCTACTCGCCATTCCCCATGCATACTCTGTGGACAGACGCCCAGCTGACAGGAAAAGTCAATTGGTTAATGTAGTGAATATGAAGATGCGGGCGGAGTCAACTGAGAGAGTTTGGTCAATGGACGGAGCTTGTTGCTTGCTAGAACCAGCGGATTACGCTGTAACACAAAATGGCATTACTTCTTTGTCTTGTCTATCCCATCTGCACAAAGACGTCGCCGAGCCGTCGCCCCTTCTCGTGGCTGAAGACATCGCTCGCGCAAACGTCAACACGAAGTGCGTACTTCGAGTTGAATATGCTCGCGTACGATGGGTGCGAATGTGGCCAATGTATGGTGTTGCCCGATTTAGAGCCGGGAGTGCCTTTGCTGGAGGGAAATCGGAAGCAAACTTTTCGACCTACAGTCGACCAGCTGCGCTGATACGAAGAGTTCTACCAGTAGCTCAGTGGAAATATATCCGCTTCACACTTGTGTTCCCGGTGAGGAACACAAGCGAAGACATGGGCTCTCGACCCAGGCGTACCAGGACAGCTGTGGGGATGTCGTGTGGCAACTCTCGCACGCGCCTCTTCCGCATTGGCTACAGCAGGACCGACCGGTGCCCAGAGTGTAGCCGCCTCGAAAATCATAAGCACGTTTTTTCTGACTTCCTGAATGCAGCAGCCTTAAGGCGCAAGGTGGCGGGCCTCTACGGACTTCCACATGTGACGTACGACACGGTGTGGTTTCTAGACTGGATGCCAGTGCCACAGAGGAAAGGCCCAGGTTTCGGACTGCTGGTCCTCGAAGTGATCGTCCAGCTATGGATGGCGCGCAACAAGGACGCAGGAAACAAGACCGCCCTGCGCCTGATGGTGTTCGAGACGCGGAACGCCTTATTTGCAAGGATCACCGAGGATTTGGCAACGCTAAGCCGGAGCGAATTTCGGAAGAGGTGGAGGAACCACCACGACCTCTTTATGCTGAAAGGCACCACGCATGTCCGAATGATGTTTTGAACAATAGCCCGATCTATGCATGTGAACTAAAGAGTCGGCGCCGGAAGTCCGACTGCGCTTTTAATAGCACCTTGGGAGGATCTGCTCTCATGTACATAGTATGTAAATAGCCGGGTCTCAACCTTTTTTCACAAAAAAACAAATTACTAAAGATTACAGTGGGGAGGTGCCAATGGGTCAATAGCCTGCCGTTTGGAGGAGTCAATGCTGAAATTAAAGAAAAAATGTATAGCCCTTCTACTTCACGTGAAAATAGAAAACCAGCGAAGCTGTGTTTTTTTTTTTTTCTTTTTTTTACGATGCTTGTAGAGGACGATGTCTAGGACAACCTCAAGGACGACTTCGAGGACGGCGCCTAGGACGACGCATAGGACACAACCTCAAGGACGACCTCGAGGACGATGCCTAGAAATGATAACAAGGGATCAGGACCTCACTATTCAATAATGCCAAGGAAGGCTGGCTCACGCTGGTTGCCGCATCTTTTTATTTTTATTTATTCACACTTGCCTCGACCAATGGGAAGTTTTCTGTCAACATCCGCAAACGCATCCCCCCCCCCCCCCCCCCCGATCCTAGCGCATAATAGCTTCGCAATAAAAAAAAAAAAAAGAAAACGCGATTACCGATATTGTTAGAAAAATAATTACTGTACAGTAGATCCGGGTCAATGTTTTGTACCTTGTTACTTATAATTCTCTCTTTATTGAGACCAAAGCTGTTCACGATCGAGCACTCGATGGCTTCGAAGCCTGCTTTGGCAAGGAGTTTCTATTAAGTTTCTCAAAGAACCGTCTCAATTCAATGTAATGCTAAAACGCCTGGTTCTGTTTCTCTCCTCCTTTTATAACAGGTTACATTTAACCATCTTAAAGAAACAGTATAGTCAATCAAACATAATCGTAGGAGAGGCAATAGTTTTGAGGAATGACGCAGGTCGCGTGAGCCATAGAGTAGAAACTTCTTATCATATTTGAGAGGTATAACAATGCACGATCCCTGACAAGGGTGCGTCACGAAGAGCTCAAGACTAAAAGCTCGCGCGAGGAACTAACTCTGACAGCATGATTCTTTCTAGGCTACGCCGCTTATTACGAACTTTCTTCGGTCGGTCGGTCGCCCTCTCTCTCTCTCTCTCTCTCTCTCTGACTTTTCTTCCATTGCATAAGATTATAATTTTTTATTTTATTTAATGGAATCCTCGTTGAATAAGCCCAGCATATACGCGCTTTTTAATCCTTTACTCTGTTTGGGAGCACCATAAATAAACCTAAATCTAAGGGTAAACGTGTGGAGGCTATGTAGGCTAAACATCTTTTTGGTGATAATCCACTTGCTTGGGGGGCATTGTTGGCGTGCAGAATCTTTGTAAATGAAATAAACGAAAGACCGACCCAACATTAAAACAAAATAACAATCGAGTGTCCCTCGCTGATTATTCAGACAGGCTTTATTAATTTTTATTCTATTTTGATGCTGGATCTATATCTTTGTGCTTTTGCCCTTTCCAATTTGCGACAGACACTGATATTAGCGCAAATATCACAAGTATAATGATGATGATAATGATTGTGGGCTTTATGGCGCAGGGGCAACTAGGGCCATGCTGCGCCGAAGATCACAACTACCTCTAAAGCAGTGATGCCGAATCGTGGGAAATTTCTAACAAACATAGCTTTAGGGGATAACGGGGAACTAAACTCGAACGTATGTAAAATGAGATATTTTAATTTCCATAAATTAATATTTTACATGCGTTCAAATTAAATTTATCTACACTTTTGGCGTTAGGCTTTCCACACAAGGTTGGAAATTTCCCACGATTTGGCAACACTGCCCTAAAGTCACAGGCAGGATCAGAACAGCAGGACGTCTCTTTCAGACGCCCGGCCCTTCAGCCTTCGGTCTCTTTGCTTTCCGCCGTGCTTTGGCTGTGCGTGTACGTTCGCAGGTCACAAGACGCTGAAGCGCCATCGAAGGTATACGGAACTCGTGCTGGAGTCGGGGTAACTGAAACAATTTCCTTCTGTCCTCATCCTGTCATTTACAATAAATCGCAAGCCGGCACCTTGTCCGAGAAAAAAAAAATATTCATAGCTATGCTTCGTAATGGTGGGAAGCACGGGAGCGGTCTATACACTTTTAAAATGGCTTTTCTTGCGCAGGCACAGTCGTGAAATCTGGCACTTGACGTCAGTTCCTTACCCGCTGGCCAGTAGCATGTTCGAGAACTACAAAATCCAACCCCAGAAGCCGTCTGCGGCCCAGCCGTTGACACCTTCAGTTATTTTTCATATTCGCGTGCAATTAAGCTATTCTTCGTTAGCGTCGTATTTTGGGTTGACAAAGCATAAACGCATATGAACTTATGGTAGACGCAAGCAGACGGCCCAGTCGACGACAGACGTCAAGAAGTACTACCAGGGACGTATTTGGCAACTTGCACTGTTTTATTTTATTTTTTTTCTGTTTAGGGTCACCCGGCGGCATCTACAGGGGCCACTCTGCCCGTCGACAAGCCGACTTCTTGAATACATGCCGGTCCGAAGTTCGAATAAAGATCGGTACGCATCAAAACTGAGTATCAGTTGATGCTCCTGTGCTGAATGCTCCGTTGGCTAGCGCAGTCGATCGCGACGCGGATGAACCAGAAGCGATCTGGAAAACATTGCTTCCGCGCAAATTAACATGTCGGACACAGAAAGAAAGCAGCATTCATGTCACCGACATGAGTGCAGACATTTGGAGCCGGAAGCAGCGTGGCAGCACGCTCTCGCGCAACTGCACCCCCCCCCCCCCCCTTTTCTTTTTTTTTTTTTGCCTACACTTACAGCGATGCAGAATCCAAATATTTTGAGTTCGCATACCACACCCCTGCCCCGTCTCAAGCTGTAGTGAGCACAGCTTTAGGGAACCGTTTTTGCACATCCGATATACGGTATATGATGGGCCCTTTAGTGCCAACTGTGCGTGAGGGCCAAAATCGTACACTGTTAGCAAGTCCCGTGTATTTGGCGAATATTTGGGGAGAAAAACACGCTATTTACACAAATTACCATAAATTTACACGATGAGTAACGGATAATTCGTTCAGAAATGATGCGAGGTTGTAAAAAACGTGTTTTGGTTCGGTCATACACGCATAACCGTGTAGCCGACCTCGATAACACGCATCGCCCCCGGCGACGACCGCGGCATTGCCGGCTATCGAAGCACCGGAATGCTTGGGGACACACTTAGAAAGGACCGTCGAGACAAATGCCGCGGAAAGAAACATGTCTCGGAGACAGATATGCACCAAAAGCAATTGCGCCATGTCGCAGGACGTTGGCGAAACCCCCGCTTACCGTGCTCGCCGCCGTCGCCGCCATCTTCTGGTCGATGGCAATGCGGCTTCCCT